TTTGGGGGTTCTCCGAACTGCACAGAATCTAAGCTAGAGGTTCTCCCGAACCCCTGCGAACCCCCAGCAGCGCACCCCTGGTTCTGTTCTGTTCTGTTTTGTTGGGGAAAAAGGACACGGAACTGTGAGGACTCAGCGATGAACATCTGGACTTGTCGGCACGAGGACAAACTTTGTCAAAAGCATTCCTGTGTCCCCAATTTGGAACAGGATGGAGTTCCTCTGCAAACAGCTCAAACGTCTATTGTTACCATAAAATGGTCTGATTCATTCCATTCTGGCTTGTTTACTGGTGAAGGTTTCCTCCTTCCAACAGATGACATCAGTCGGGTAAAAATGATCTTGGCTTAAACAAGTGTCTGCTGTGGTTATGCTTGCTTGTGTGCCCAGAAAGCAAATAAATCTTTTTTCAGACACTCACATATTTTTAAGAGCATGGAATTCATGGGTCTTATTGGGATTATTATAACACTTTGCCCTTAATATATTGTGGGGTTATATTTACTCTAAAAAGGGATGTGGTGGCTCAGTGGCTAAGATGCTGAGCTTGTCAATCGAAAGGTCGGCAGTTCAGCGGTTCGAATCTCTAAGTGTCGCGTAACGGAGTGTGCTCCCATTACTTGTCCCAGCTTCTGCCAACCTAGCAGTTCGAAAGCACGTAAAAAATGCAAGTAGAAAAATAGGGACCACCTTTGGTGGGAAGGTAACAGCATTCCGTGCACCTTTGGCGTTTAGTCATGCTGGCCACATGACGACGGAGACGTCTTCGGACAGCGCTGGCTCTTTGGCTTTGAAACGGAGATGAACACCGCCCCCTAGAGTTGGGAACAACTAGCACATATGTGCAAGGATAACCTTTACCTTTATCTTATATTTTACTCTAATTCTTCTAACAATTCTGTGAAAACTGGAGTCTCTTAATAAAATCTGCTTATAACTTTCCCTCAGAATTCATTTTTTAAAAAGTTTGCAGCTCCCTAAATACTACATATAAATATTTTTTAAAGTAATTAAATATTTAAACCTAGTTTAGTAAAGCCACAGTGCAGTGGAAACAGGTTCCCAATGTTAACTCCTCATTTAATTTGTGTTGGCTTGTTGAAAATATGTTCCCTGTCTGAGGACAGCAGAATAAATATTCCCATGTGGTTATTTTAAGATACATTTCTGATTGCTTCTCAGTCTAAGGCTAAAATAAAAACACTGCAAAGAATTTTGGGGTTATACCAAGATTAGAAACCTTTGAAAAGGTTCTGAAAAGAAAATGGATTTCTGCTTCAGTTCTCAAACTTTACGATGCTATGATCTCCTAAAACGATTAAATGAATTTGTTATATGAATTTCTGATGAATAAATACATTTCAAGGGAGGGAGGGATGGACGGAGAAGGGAGAAAGGGAGGGAGGAAGGGAGAGAAGGAGAGAGGGAGAGAGAAAGGAGGCAGGGAAGGAGGAAGGAGAGACAGAGGGAGGGAGAAGGAAGAAAGGAAGGAAGGGAGAGAGAAAGGAAGAGAGGGAGGGAGGGAAAGAGGGAGGGAGAAGAAGGAAGGGAGAGAGAGAGAGGAAGAGAGGGAGGGAGGGAGGAGGAAAGGAAGGAAGGAGGAAAGGAAGGGTGGGAGGGAGGGACGGAGGAAGGAAAGGAAGGAAGGAAGGAAGGAAGGAAGGAAGGAAGGAAGGAAGGAAGGAAGGAAGGAGGAAAGGAACATTTGCTTGCTTTTCAGCAACATTTCAGCGTTTGGCCTCTAAACTTGGATTGGGGCATACAATACCTATATCATTTTGATGACCTTTGGCCTTTGGGGTATAGCTTTGAGCTTTGAGCTTTGTAAGGACAGGTGATCGATTTAGAACATCAAAAACTGATTTGGCAGAGACAAATGTTAAATTCAAAACTTCCTTGAGCACCATGAAAAAGCCGCAAAGGTTTTGATAGGATTCTTGTGTTTTTGACAAGCCAACTAAGCATTCTAGTTGACCTTGAGTGGTTGAGAAAATCAAGCAGGGTTGACCTGCGTTAGGATTTGGATGAGGGACCATCAGGAATCCCTAAAAACATATTTTAAAAGGAAACAATGCCAAACCACTTCCACATCAAGCAAGAAAACCACATAAATGGATCTGTGAAGAATCAGACCTGATGTCAGAGTTCCAAGTAACACCCCCAACCAAGTAAGACTCCAAGGCAAGCAATTCCTCAAAGATCCATTTTATTGGAGATGTCATATTGACATATCTGGGAGAACACGAATCTGAAAGCTCCTCACCCAAATGAAACTCCAAATCCCTTCCCCTGCACCCACATGTCCATCACATGGTCCAATCAATCCACCTTCCCAACTGGAGATGCCTCCCAGTCACGCCACTCCAAGTGCAGGCTGAACATCCTTGACTCCCAGAGAAAAGAATGTTGTTATGGCTAGATATCTCTACAACTCCATGCAACCCCTCCCCACCTCCCAGTTTCCCACAGCACTAAGTGTGGCAGCCCCGAAGATCCAAAAGAAAAGATGGCCTCCAGGGCTGACACTTGACTTAAATTGAGCATTGCACTTTATATCCTATAACTATCTGATAAAATGGTCTCGGGACTATTCAGAGATACTGCTATAGGTAGTGACCAGCCCATGTTTTTTAAAGAGTTAAAGGTAAAGGTAAAGGTTCCCCTGCACATTTGTGCTAGTCGTTCCTGACTCTAGGGGGCGGTGCTCATCTCCATTTTAAAACTGAAGAACCAACACTGTCCAAAGACATCTCCGTGGTCATTTGGCCGGCATGACTAAATGCCAAAGGTGCACGGAACGCTGTTACCTTCCCACCAAAGGTGGTCCCTATTTTTCTACTTGCATTTTTTATGTGCTTTCGAACTGCTAGGTTGGCACAAGCTGGGACAAGTAATGGGAGGTCAACCCATTATGCGGCACTAGGGATTCGAACTGCTGAACTGCCGACCTTTTGATCGACAAGCTCAGCATCTTAGCCACTGAGCCACTGCATCCCTTTTTTAAGAGTTAGGACACAACATCTGCAGAATTTTCTATGCAAGATTAGAAATGTTCTCCTTGGGGAAGAAAACAGAGATATTGGAATGTCATTTGTGCATTTGTATCTGTGTATACACAATGAGTCATGTCAGCGAGAGTTTTATGATCCGGTGAAAATAACCCCCTGAAAGACGTAGAAACATTCCTTCGAGCTCTGTGTACACTGGATACAGCAACCTTTACTTCCAGGTGAATAATTACAGACTTAAAACCTTCCTAAAATTTGGCTTTGATTATACAACAACTTTTCAAACTTATCTGACACTAATACCCTTCAAAAACCATCCCTGCCCATCGAGCAACCGATTCGGTATTTTGCAAACCATTTCCCATATCTGCTGTGCTATTTATTTCAGGAGACATCGTGCATATGAGTTCATATTGATGCATTAGCCAAGGAAAGGATTAGATTGTTGATTAGATTATTGATTGATAGAACTGCAGAAAAAACAATTGCTACCAACCTGCCTTCCATTGAGGACCTGTATACTGCACGAGTCCAAAAGAGGACCGTGAAAATATTTACAGACCCTTCATATCCTGGACATAAATTGTTTCAATTTCTACCCTCAAAACAATGCTATAGAGCACTGCACACCAGAACAACTAGACACAAGAACAGTTTTCCCCGAACGCCATCACTCTGCTAAACAACTAATTCCCACAACACTGTCAAACTATTTACTAAGTCTGCACTACTATTAATTTTCTCATCCTTCCTAGTACCTATCTCTTCCCACTTATGGCTAGATCCATGTTGCTTGTATCTTTACAAATTATATTGTTTTATTTGTTTCCTAGTACGATTTGATTGCTTATTTAGTAACCTATGACTATAACTAAGTGTTGTATCTCACGATTCTTGATTAATGTATTTTATTTTTCTTTATGTACACTGAGAACATATGCACCAAAGACAAATTCCTTGTGTGTCCAATCACACTTGGCCAATAAAGAATTCTATTCTATTCTATTCTATTCTATTCTATTCTATTCTATTCTATTCTATTCTATTCTATTCTATTCTATTCTATTCTATTCTATTCTACTCACTTCCCAAATAATTGGGCCACTGAGACTTTCCTACTCATAGAACTGCTTCAGAAAACCTTCCGCAGCCAAAGGTGTTTCCAGCAACAATATTTGCACCTAACAAGGGGATAATCCTCTAATCAAGCTTCTGTGTTGTTAATATCACTCTTAAGATTGAGTGAGGACATTGAGGACCTGTATACCACACGAGTCAAAAAGAGGGCTGTGAAAATATTTACAGACCCCTCGCATCCTGGACATAAACTGTTTCAACTCCTACCCTCAAAACGACGCTATAGAGCACTGCACACCAGAACAATTAGACGCAAGAACAGGTTTTTCCCGAACGCCATCACTCTGCTAAACAAATAATTCTCTCAACACTGTCAAACTATTCCCTAAGTCTGCATTACTATTACTGTTAGTCTTCTCATCGTTCCTATCACCCATCTCCTCCCACTTATGATTGTATGACTGTAACCTTGTTGCTAGTATCCTTAAGATTTACATTGAGTGTTTCCCTATGACTATCATTAAGTGTTGTACGTTATGATTCTTGATCAATGTATCTTTTCTTTTATGTACACCGAGAGCGTACGCACCAAGACAAATTCCTTGCGTGTCCAATCACACTTGGCCAATAAAGAATTCTATTCTATTCTAATCTATTCTATTTTATTCTATTCTAAGATCTGGGAAAAGCTTTGAGTGCCTGCCAATCTTCCCTAAAATGTATTTGTTTTCCCCGGTAAAACATAGTCTTCCTTTAACTAAAGAACAGGCTTGCATGCCTCCTCCTTGTCAGGAAACTCATCCACTTTAAAAGTATCCTCCACTCCCCGTTCAAACAAACATCTTTTACCCTCTAAATCATTTCACCTTTGGAAATGAACGCCGAGGAAGCGTTGCAAGCTTTTAAAACACTTACCCGGGTCTCGGTGGTTCGATATTAAAAGCAAAAGAAGAAAGACAGTGTAATGCATGTTTTCGCAGCCTCTGTCCCTCTCTCCTGCTTTTAGCAGAGGACGAGAAATAAATAGCTTTTCTTCCCAGGATCAACTTTTGGCAGAATAGCTGGGATTGGTAAGAAAGAGTCTGAGCTCAGCCAAATTTCTTACGTCGCCCTTTTGCCTTCCTCCCCTCCCTTCTCCTCCCCACCTTCAAACAACATAGAGTCTAGTTATCCATGGGGCTCATTCTGAGCCAGGTCTGCCACCACGAGAAAGAGTACTAATTTATTAATTTATGCTTGCTTGTGAATGGAGGGCGCTGGGAACCTTCTGCTGGTCGGATGGATGAGAGTGAAGCAGCTACTTTAGTGGTCTACATGTGGAATTTTTAGCATGCAGAGAAAGAAGCAGAGACTCTAGAAAGAGTGCAGAGAAAAGCAACCAAGATGATTAGGGGACTGGAGGCTAAACATATGAAGAACGATTACAGGAACTGGGCATGGCTGGTCTAGTGAAGAGAAGGACCAGGAGAGATATGAGAGCAGTCTTCCAATATTTGAGAGGCTGCCACAGAGAGGAGGGGGTCAAGCTATTTTCTAAAGCACCTGTAGGCCAGACAAGGAATAATGGATGGAAACTGACCAAGGAGGGATTCAACCTGGAAATAAGGGGGAATTTTCTGACAGTGAGAACAATCAACCCATGGAACAGAAGTTGCCTTCGGAAGTTGTGGGAGCTTCATCACTGGAGACTTTCAAAAAGAGATTGGACTGCCATTCGTCAGAAATGGCATAGGGTCTCCTGCTTGGGTGGGGGGTTGGACTAGATGACCTACAAGGTCCCTTCCAGCTCTGTTAATCTGTTAAACCATTAACGGGAATTCAGCTCAACTTGAAGGGCAACCTTCTGTTTCTACAGCATGGATTTATTTACTCCATTTATTTATTCCATTCCGTGCCTCCATTTTTAGCCGGGTAACAGAATGGCTAAATCAATCCATAAACCGCTATACAGCACAATGAAGCGGTATGTCAGTCTAAGCGCTACTACTCTTTTAGTAGTCAAAAAACTAGATACAGGGAGTCCTCATCTTACAGCCATCCTCACTTAGTGACCATCCGAAGTTACAACTGCACTGATAAAAGTGACTTATGACTGTTGCTCGCACTTGTGACTGTTTCAGCATCCCCAAGGTCACACGATTAAAATTCAGAGGCTTGGCAACAGGCATGTACTTGTGACAGTTGCCGTGTCCCCGGGGTCACATGATCTGACAAGCCTAGTCAACGGGGAAGGCAGATTCACTTAACAACCTAACTTAACTGCTTCAGCGGTTCATGGAACAACTGGTGCAAGAAAGGTCATAAAATAGAGAAAACTCATTGGGCCACTGTCTTGCTTAGCAACGGAGATTTTGGGCTCAGTTGGGGTCATAATTCAAGAACTGTATCTCCCCATTCTCAACTTGGCTTGAAATTTCTGCCCTTGTATGTTGTCCTTCCTTGCGCTGGATAATCACAGAGTTGGTTTCCTGCCATCAAATCTACAGAAAAAAGAAGAGATGCTAAGTTTGGATTCCTACAGACTGAGACTGGCTGGTTTCCCATTGGCTGGAACTGAGCCTGCTTCCTGCTGCCCAAGTTCTTCCCTTTCCTCTACAAGGATGCAGGTTGTCATGACAACTTTCCTTGGTAACAGCAACTATCAGGGAAATTTCCCAACAGTGAGAACAATTAATCACTGGAACTGCTTGCCTCCAGAGGTTTTAGGTGCTCCATCACTGGAGATTTTTTTAAAGAAGAGACTGGGCAGCCATTTGTTAGAAATGTTATAGGGTTTCCTGCTTGAGCAGGGGGCTGGACTAGAAGACCTCCAAGGTCCCTTCCAACTCTGTTATGGTGGTAAGTGCTTGAGTAAGTTGACGTTGTCCTTAGCCGTAAAGTTGTCTTTTTCCATCATTGTCCAAGGAGAAACCTTGAAGTGTGTAAGATCTGCCAAACTTTGTCACACATCACATTGCAGGGAAATCAAATGACTAGGAACTAAAACAATAAATAAAATAGAATAGAATAGAATAGAATAGAATAGAATGGAATGGAATGGAATGGAATGGAATGGAATGGAATGGAATGGAATGGAATGGGATGGGATGGGATGGGATGGGATGGGATGGGATGGGATGGGATGGGATGGGATGGGATTCAATGGAATGGAATGGAATTCAATGGAATGGAATTCAATGGAATGGAATTCAATGGAATGTATTTAGAATAGAATGGAATGGAATGGAATGTATTTAGAATAGAATGGAATGGAATGTATTTAGAATGGAATGGAGTGGAGAGGAGTTGAATGTATTATAGAATAGAATAGATCGGAAGAATAAAATAGAAGCAGAATTGTTTTCTGCTTGATTGTTTGTCTGGCATTATTCCTTGCTTATCTGGAGGCTGCTGGATAGGAGGGAGGGAGGGAAAAGCAGTAGGGGGATGGGGGGAAAGGAAAGAAATTGAGAGGAAGGAAGGAAGGAAATGGAGAGAAGGAAGAAAGGAATGGAGAGGAAGGAAGGAAGGAAATGGAGAAGAAGGAAGGAAGGGAAGGGAAGGGAAGGGAAGGGAAGGGAAGGGAAGAGAAGAGAAGAGAAGAGAAGAGAAGAGAAGAGAAGAGAAGAGATGGAGGGAAGGAGGAAGGGAGGGAGAGAGGGAGGGAAGTAAGTAAGGCGTGCGGAGTGTATCTGCACTCTAGATCAAAAGGGGGAAAAGAAGGGTATTTGGAATGTGGCTTGCAAATTACCTCCCATAGTGATGCCCTGAGTGGTTTCTAATCTGAATTTCTTTTCTTAATCCTTACCAGAAGGTTAGTCCCATCTCCTCTGTTCAATTTTTGGACAGAATTTTTGGACAGTTCTCTTGTTGATTGAAAGACACAGTCGTAAAGGAGTCTGGAGCCCCTTTACAAAGTTGCATTCCAATACTCCCATTTGACGGAGAGGAATAAAAAGAGTCTTCCTCAAGACGAGCTTTACTCAGGGAGACTTCATCGAAATGTCCACAGATTTATTTTTTTCCCCTGGCAATGATGTTTAGAATTTTTTGTTTGTTTGTTTTCACTTCCTAAATCTGGGATTTCCTTTTGGTTCCTGATCGAAATGCTAATCTCTCCCAACCCTGCTTAGTTCCCAAATCCAAAGAAAATCAGCTTTGTGATGCCACCTGCTGAGACAAATAAATAAATACAATATATTACAAACAAATACAAATGGCAAGTCCATTTAAAAGCTGATATTATCCTAAGAAAGCTCTTGCTACCGAGAAAGAGAATTTTTTTTTAGCCTTTACAACTGATGATGTTACCTAGTTTGGTAATGAGACATCTTGCAAGAAAATAACGAAGCTATTTTCTCCTTTATTTTAGCTCTTTGTGTAATCCTGATTAACAAAGTTAGTTAATCCTTAACTTAAGCCATTGGAACGTGGGTTCCATGTACAACTGGGTTAAAGACACAACTTGTGCTTTGTTTAACGAACTATTCATAGTTGCAACATTACAAGAACATTGAAAAAAGTGTGCTACATCCAATTCTCACACTTACAACTGGTTGCAGTGTATCCATGATCATTGATCAAAATTTGGTTGCTCAGCAACTGGGATACATTCGTGACAGTTGAAGGATTCTGAGGTCATGTGATCACTATTTGCAGTCTTCCCAGGAGCCGTCCAACAACCATAGTCAATGGGAGAAATCAGATTCATTTCACAATAAATAAATGAACGTTCCTGATTAGGGCACAAAAGCTTGTAAAATCAGGGGTGACTCACTTAATGACTGCATTGCTTAACAATGAAGGTTCCTGTCCCCATTGTGGTCGTAAGTCGAGACTATCTGTAGAAATGAAAGCAAAACACAGAAAATTAACTGTTTTGGAATTGGCTAAAAATGTTGCTAACATCTTTTTGGATGGAGTTAAGAGTTGAGTTAAGAGAAATGGATATTATTTTAATGCATGCTGGTTTCCCTTCTGCTTCAGGGTTGATTCCAAAACACAACGAGTCCCTCATATTTTCACCGTATTAGGAATTTAGCTCAACATAAAATCGCCACCAGCATTTCCTATCCATCTGGGAAGTGTGTGAATCAACACAACCTTCCACTTTTGCAGTACCCAGAAGAAGTTGGGTCAGACTGCAATGGAGTGAAGAAGGAAACCAACATTAGAAATCCAAGTTCCTGGCTCAAAACTTCAACAAGGACGTTCAGATGGCAATCAATGTCAGACAGACAAAGTTGGAAGGGATCTTGGAGGTCTTCTAGTTTAACTCCCTGTCCAAGCAGGGAGACCATTTGGGACAAATGGCTGCACAATCTCTTCTTGGAAACCTCCAATGATGGAGCACATCCACAACTTCTGGAGGCAAATCATTCCACTGGTTAATTGTTCTCTCTGTCAAGAAATTTCTCCTTAGTTTTAGGTTGCTTCTCTCCTTGATTAGTTTCCAACCATTGCTTCTTGTCCTGCCTTCTGGTGCTTTGAAGAATAGGTTGACCCCCCTCTTCTCTATGACTGCTCCACATCAATGGTGGATTGCTCCCGGTTCGGACCGGTTCTGCGCATGCGCAGTAACAAGGCTCGTGCGTGAGCGAAGCACGCGTGATCCCGTTGCAAACCGGTAGTAAGTAGAACCCATCCCTGCCCCATATGTACTGGAAAACTGCTATCATGTCACCCTAATCTTTCTTTTCAAACCTAATTAGACATACCCAGTTCTTGCAATCAGGAGAAGGGAAAAAGGGCAACAGGAACATTCAGTATTAATTCTTTAATATTGAAGAGGATTGGAGAGGATTGAAAAAGATTAGAAGGTCAGAGTAAGGGGAAAGAAACCCAACGGTACGCCAAGGAAGAAGATCATGAATTGTATTGAACACTGTTCCATTGAATAATAAGGCTCTTTTGTCCCAGTTTGCTCCAAATCTAAGATGGATACTTAAAGACTACTGCTAGTAATTCTGGGCGAATGCTCCCTTTTCAAGACTTTGCAAAAGCTGCGTCTGGTAGAAAATAAGAGGATTTCTTAGGAGCCTCATGGAAGGAACGAAGAGCTAGGATAATTATAGCTCCTTTTCCAGTTTATCCCATCTTAAGAAGCTCAAC